TTGATTTTCTCATTTGCATGTCCCTAGAAAGTGAAGTTGCGCATTTTATTCAAGTGCCACTTGGCCATCTTTGTTTTAGAATATCTCTTCAAATCTTCTGCCCATGTTTTGATTGGGTTGCTCTGTTTCATTGTTGTTGTTGGCGGTGGTCATTTGGATGAGTTCTTTCTATATTTTGAACATCAACCCATTGTCTAATATATGATGTAACTTCTATTTAGTAGATTGCTAAAACAATTTTTTTTTCTTTTTTGGGTCACACCCAGCGATGCTCAGGAGTTTTTCCTGGCTCTGCACTCAGGAATCACTCCTGGCGTTGCTCAGGGAACCATATGGGATGCCGAGAATCAAACACAGGTAGACCGTGTGCAAGGCAAACGCCCTACCCACTGTACTATCACTCCGGCCCCTAAAACAATTTTTTTCTTTTTTTTGCTTTTTGGGTCACACCAGACGATGCACGGGGGTTACTCCTGGCTCTGTACTCAGGAATTACTCCTGGTGGTGCTCAGGGGACCATATGAGATGCTGGGAATTGAACCCGGGTTGGCCAATGTACAAGGCAAATGCCCTACCTGCTGTGCTATTGCTCCAGCCCCCCCAAAACAGTTTTTATAGGTAAGGGATGGGCCTGTAGTATTGGCCTAAAATAAAGGTGAGTGTGAAGGTCTGTGGGGCTAACAGTGCTGTCACCAGGGGGTGCGATGCTCCTAAGGACCACTGGAGTTTGGGCCTTTCGGGACACTGGGCTGATCCTGGAAGATGGTTTGCAGTAGCGGGCCTGGCCTCTGGAGTCCTGGGGCTGGTCTGGCTCTGGGGAGAGCGGGTGGCTGTCTCCTCCACGGCAGACTTGGGTCACTTCAGTTTCCTGCCTCCAAGGGAAGGCTTTGTTCTCCTTTTTTGGCTTTCTGAGCTTCAGTGATGAGGTGATACGGATAACGTGTCATTTTGTTTGCTACCTACTCTCCTCAGTGTATTTGTTCTGATTTTTGTCCTCCTCCTGGGTGTTTTAACCTCTCCTCTGGAACCCTCAACTCTTGAGAAGATAATTTTGAGCACAGATTGTTGTTCAAATCAGTGTTTCTCACGGGGACAAGCAGTGGAAATTTCTTGTCTGTCATCTTGATGACATTGCTCTCTTGTGGCTAAATTTTAAAATGACAAATACGGTTTACATCACATTTCACTTTTTGGTTTTGCTGACTATTTCGACTAATTTTCCAATTTTCCAATATTCTAATTTCTATTGCTTCATCTTGTTTGGGTTGTTGATACTGCTGTTCTTTCTGGGAGGTGCCCTTAATGCTGTATCTTATTTCTGTTACCAAAGTTTTACTTTGTCAGAGTTCTTTTTTGGTTTTCTGAATGCTCCTTTTATAAAGTACAGTTCTCTGAAAATTTTCTTTTATCTTTCTGAGAATAATAAGTGTCTTTGTTGCTGTCAGTTTTCTTCTCCCTGAAATCGTCTCGTTACTCTACCCCATGCCTCATCTATTTTATCGTTTTCCTTTATTAAGAAGGTTTTTCTACATATTTAGTAGAAAATACTAATTAGTTAATACTAATTAACTTTGTTCTCTGCTCATATTTAAAGTATTGGTTTCTAAAAAGGAAATTCAAAGTTCTGCCCTTTGCTGATACTGGACTTGACTTTAAAATAACCTGGTGTAGGTATTTTTTTCTTACAGAACTGGAAAGATATCCCTGAAAAAAATCTTAACATTCATCTTTGACAGGTTTCCTTCCAGATTTCCATCAGCTGAGTCAGGGATGAACACCGGGCACCTCAGTATTCAGTATACATCTATTTGTTTATTCTACTTAGGAATGCTAAGATCCATGTGAACCTTCAGTCAGAAAGACAAACTATAAGAAAATGAATTATAAGAAAATGAATTTATCAAATGCGTAAAGTTCTTCTGGAAAATCCTCTTCCAGCTTTGCCTAGGATGTAGCTTGGTGGAGTGCGCTTGCCCTTCATGAGTCAGGTCCTGCTTTTGATTCCCCGCGCCGCAAAACAACAACCATCACCAAGAAAACCACACTGGTTTGATGCTTAATGTTACCATGAAAGGATATTCTTTAAGAAATACTTACTCAGGGGCTGGAGTGATAGCACAGCGGGGAGGGTGTTTGCCTTGCATGTGGCCAATCTGGGTTCGATTCCCAGCATCCCATACGGTCCCCCCAGCACCGCCAGGAGTAATTCCTGAGTGCAGAGCCAGGAGTAAACCCTGTGTATCACCAGGGATGACCCAAAAAAGCAATAATAATAAAAAAAAAAGTATTCATTCAGTCCAATGCATGTAAAGTAACAGACTTTGGCCATGCAGGGCATTAGCCATATCGTACCTAGAGAATTCTAAAAGGGACAGAACACTGCCTCATATTGAAACTTTTTGGGGGGCCACTCTTGGTGGTGCTTGGATGACCGTATCGGGTGCTTGGGCTCAGACCAGGCCAAGCTGCTGTAGTAAGAGCCTGAATTCCTGTCTATTTCTCCAGTCCTTACAACATTTCTTATTATGAAAAAAGCAAAGAAACAAAAATCACCATGTTAGAGATAAATCTCATAAGTAAGGGCCACAAAAGAAACAGATGGCTGTTATACTGTGGTGTTATTTTTTTGTGTGGTAATGGACTGGAGAGATAGCACAGAGGGTAGGGCGTTTGCCTTACATGCAGCTGACCCAGGTTCAATTCCTCCACCCCTCTCAGAGAGCCTGACAAGCTACTGGGAGTATCTCGCCCTCAGGGCAAATCCTGGCAAGCTACCTGTGACATATTTGATATGCCAAAAACAGTAACAAGAAGTCTCACAATGGAGACGTTACTGGGCCCGTTTGAGCAAACTGATGAACAATGGGAGGACAGTGACAGTGACAATGGAGCGATAGTACAGTGGGTAGGGAGTTTGCCTTGCATGTGGCAGACCCGGGTTGTATTCCTCCGCCCCTCTCGGAGAGCCCAGCAAGCTACTGAGAGTATTGTGCCCACATAGCAGAGCCTGGCAAGCTGCCCGTGGCATATTCAATATGCCAAAAACAGTAACAACTAGTCTCACAATGGAGATGTTACTGGTGCCTGCTTGAGGAAATCGATGAACAACGGGACGACAGTGCTACAGTGCTAATGTTTTGAGTGTAACAAAAAAGGGGCAGCTGCCTATCCTTCACTAGGCCTCTACATCTCTGGGCATCCTGATATTTCTGCACTGAAATTCCTATCACTTAATACAAATTAGGACAATAATCAGTTTCCATTTGACAAGTATAGTACACAAGTTAAAGGCAAATACTTTACTGAAATACAAACTAAAATACTTTAGGCTTAATTTTCAGTTAAGAACAGGATGAAAATCTATATAATCAACGAAGTTAGATGATATACATCATTTACTTTTAAACGCCCATAAGAGAAAAAAAGCTAGAATTCAAAGGAAGACAGTTTTACTGCCTCAGTATTTCCAAAGTCACATGATAGCTGCCTTTAAATATTTGAAAGAGCATCATGTGGTGGATTAACCAAACGTAATTCTTTTAAATACAAAGAGCATAATAAGGATCAGTGTACCAACAGAGCCAGAGAGACAGTATAGTAGATAAGGCACTTAATAATCTAGAGTTGATTCCCCATATACATATGGTACCCTGTATACAGCTGAGTATGGCCCATCCCTTCCCTAAATAAGTCCTGAGCACAGCTGGGTATGGCCCACACCCTCCCAAAATGTACAAAAATATGTTTTAGGCTTGGCTTGGAGCTAGAAAAATGAAATAAGGTATCTCAGTAGATAGCTGCCTGTGAAAGTTTGGAAGCAAGGAGCTGGCAGCTGGTTAAATACATATGGGGTATTTTCTGTTATTTACATATTTATTATATATAAGGAAAATTTTACTATTGAGAAATAATACTCTAGTTTATCCTATGCATAAGGTAAGGTAAAGGCCCTCCCGTTGATCGTCGATTTGCTCGAGCGGGCCCAGTAACGTCTCCATTGGAGACTTTGTTGTTACTGTGTCTGGCATATCCAATACTCTCGGTAGCTTGCCGGGCTCTCCGAGAGGGGCGGAGGAATCAAACTCGGGTCGGCCATGTTGGCCGCTTGTAAGGCGAACGCCCTACCCGCTGTGCTATCGCTCCGGCCATCCTATGCATATTTTCCTTTTTTTGTTATGAAAAATATCACTTTCTTAGAGTTTAAAAATATTAACTATTAGCTGCAGGAAAATTAGGAAAACACCAGGGCCTCCTATATGCAAAGTCTGTCTAGTGAGCTACATTTCTCCAGCTCTTTTTCAAGCAATTTTGCCTATTTTAATTTCTTGTTATTTAGAGCTCTGTTATTCTGTTTGTAAAGATGTCTTCCTGTTATACTGATTCCTTTTTTGGGGGAGGTGGGGGTACACACCTGGCGATGCTCAGGGTTTACTCCTGGCTCTGCACTCAGGGATCACTCTTGGTGGTGTTTGGGGGACCATATGGGATGCTGAGATCTGGGTTGGCCACGTTCAAGACAAATGCCCAACCCACTTGTGTTCAGCCCCTGTACTAAAAGATCAAATTCACAGCATTCATTTCCTACATTCCATAAAAATGCTGACTAGTCCTTACTCGTTAGGGCCAATTCACAGGTCACTTCACCTTTGTTTTTAGGTTTTTCGGTTAACAGTGCTTTTGGCGGGGGATGGGGATGAGTCACATTCAGCTGTGCTCAGGGCTTACTCCTGGTTCTGTACTCAGGAATCACTCCTGGCGGTGCTTGGAGGACCAAAGGCAGTACCTCATCCAGTACCTTACCCGTTTACCCTGATCTTAACAGTGCTTCCTTTGATATGCCTTGTTTCTAGATTTAGTGTCTTTTTGTCTTTTTGCTTTGAGAGGAGAGACTAAGTCCTGAAAGCCCTTGGTCAAGGTGACTTTCACAAGGAAAGCACTGTGATTTCTACAAACCTATCAATTTATTTAACATTTTGGCCAAGGAAGCTTAGATTTCATACCTGGTAGGGTTCCTTTTGTCTTCTTCAGAGATCAGAAACCATACAAAATCTGCATAGCTCATTCTTCCCTCTTTCTGTACAGTTTTTCCCCTAAAACAGAATAAAATACTTGGTTATAAAATTTCTCATATAATTATTCAGATAAGTTTGACAGACTCAGAAATAAAGTACCATTTCTTCAGAAATGAAGTTAAAATGCTGAAAACCTAAGTAAGGATAAGCCCTTTTACGACCTATTTTGTTTTCAAAGGCCTCTATTATGAAATTAGAAGGCATTTTCAGATTTGAAGAAAGAAATCATCTATAGTTTGAACAAAAATAGTCACTGAGATAAAATGCTGTTTCCTGTATTTAGATATGAGTAATAGCCATATTTAAATAATTACTATCACAAATGAAGCAATGACTGTATGTCTTGTTTTGTCAGGTATTACCTGATCTGAGTGCTGTAAAATTATAGTTTGCTAAAATGAGATTATTTCAGTATTACTTATAATTTTGATTCCTCCGCCCCTCTCGGAGAGCCCGGCAAGCTACCGAGAGTATCTAGCCCACCCGGCAGAGCCTGGCAAGCTACCCTTGACGTATTCGATATGCCAGACACAGTAACAACAAAGTCTCCAATGGAGACGTTACTGGGTCCGCTCGAGCAAATCGATGAACAACGGGAGGACAGTGACTTATAATTTACTTTACTTTTTTTTTCTGTTTTTTTTTTTTTTCTCTTTTTGGGTCATACCTGGTGTTGCACAGGTTTACTCCTGGCTCTGCACTCAGGAGTTACACCTGGCGGTGCTCAGGGGACCATATGGAATGCTGGGAATTGAACCCAGGTCACCCATGTGCAAGGCAAACGCTGTACCTGCTGTGCTATCTCTCCAGCCCCTTATAATTCACTTTTAAAAAATTCAGATGCTTTTTCTTACCTTGTTACTGCCCCAGAAAATATCCTTTCAATGATCCTATTTGAAGAAGCTAAATATAAATCAGAAAGAACAAAGCTAGTTAGAAATATGCTCCATAAAGGGATTATTTTTGGGAAATTGTTTTTAGAAGCTACAAGCTAAAACAATAACTTGCCACAATTAGACTACGACTATTTAAGCTTTTATTTATAATTCGTGTTTTTTTTAGAAAAGAATCTGAGATGGCTTAATCAATCTATCCCACCAATTCATTCATCCACCAACCATTGAATGCAAAAAACAGATAAAAGTATGTGCCCAACAGCAGAATTTTATTTATAGAGTTGAGCACCAAATTAGTTCTGAACATCCTGAGATGAATAAGACCAAGATGTATTGAATTTGTATTGATCTTATTATCCAATAATACAAGACAACTTTTCCTCTGAAACAAGACAAATTTTATCCTAGCATTAAATCCAAATGTGAACTAATTCTAAAGAAGGTAATTTAAGTAAGACAATGGAGAATGCTTTCCAATAGAATTTTATAGAAGATACAAAAAGATACCATAAACATACTTATTCTATATGGGTATAGGATATAATACGATATCATGTACAGTGTTAAAAATCGCATCAGTACGTTATATTCAATACAGAGAAAACAACTGAGGAAATGGTTCAAAGGGCTATTAGTGTCTACGGTGCATATGGGAATTGTTTTAATTTCTGGCTCTGCATGGTTCCTGAGCACCTGAAGGTGTTCAAAAGGAGAGAGAAGAAAGAAGAGAAGAGGGGGGGGAGAGAGAGAGAGAGAGAGAGAGAGAGAGAGAGAGAGAGAGAGAGAGAGAGAGAGAGAGAATATATGCTGATTTTTATTTTCAATGATAGGGATCAAACCCAGATTCTCACACATTTGAGGCATGTGTTATACACTAAGCCACATCCCTGCCCCTTATATGTTGCTTTTTGATGAATCCACACCAGTATACCTCACTGTAGGCTCACAAATCACTTCATTTATTTTGAATTGTAGGTTGGGAACATTATATCTGATACCTTTGAATGATCTTAAAACTGAGAAAGACATTCATATGAAACAGAGGAGACCCAATGGTGTGATGAAGATAAAGCTCTTCTATTTTATTTTTCTATTTCATTTTTTGGGCCACATCCAGCATTTCTCAGGGCTTATTCTTGGCTCCATGTTCAGCCTCGCTCCTGGTGGTGCTAGAGAGACCATCTGTGGTGCTTTGGACAGGGCCAAGGCCGACCATGTGCAAGGCAAATAAGTGACTTAGGACGGTCCTCTCTTTCCTGCCCCAGGATGCTCTCCTCTTCGTAAGTGCCCCCAGCAATGACAGACACTCAAATTTCAGGATCAGCAATGAGGTTGTTAGAATTAGTATGTAATTTCTCTGCATAGGTTTGGGTATAGTTAGCACAAAAAATACATTTGCAGAGAAAATACCTTGTCTGAAATTAAATTCCAAAATTCAAATCTCTAGGTTTCTGAAAACATCAGAAACCTCGATAAATTAATTTCCTCTTTGGCTATTTTTTCCTTTGGCCACACCTGGTGGTGCTCAGGACTTATTCCTGGCTCTGCACTCAGGGTTCATTCCTGATGGGACTCCGGAGACCAAACGGAGTGCTAGAGATTGAACACTGCCGGACGCCCCCAAGGCAAGTGTCCTACCTACTGCACTGTCGCTCTGGCCTCTCCTCTTTGGCTTTTTACAAATACTGCAAAGTGGGAAATTTATAGTGTAGCACGTGCCTTTCAAATAGACTTTAAGGGTTGATTATTTTTCAATTCATTATCTCAAAATAAACATCTCCGTCATCAATTTATCAAAATCAAGACTTACCTCTAAACCCTTTTTTCCTATACCTGGCTTATAAATAAACTGTCTTTACATATTCTCACTGAAAAGTTATTGACCCTCAAAGGCTTTGGAACTGGAAATTTTACCTGGCAGTGGGGGTGTCTCAGAGGGGCACTAGAGACCCCGGTGGAGGGAACTGGGCGATCTAGTGCCGGTTGTGGTGTTTGAATGATATACGCATTAAAGTATAATTAACAGTACTATAGACCATGATGCCTCAATGAAAATGGTAAAGAGAAAAATAAAAATTATAAAGTTATTGGCCCTTACAGAGAACTTACATTAGATATATAATTTAAGAAATGGTGAATCCCATAATGAGCGGGAACAATTAATATAATTCTCGTTTTCCTCAAAGTGGTTCTCTCTTAGCCTCTACAGAGTCACTCACCCTGGTCATTGTAACGAGAGAGATCGTCCTGGCTGATGTAAAGGTCGTGATCACTGTCCAGTTCCCAGAATTTACAATAAATAACATAGAAATGTTCATAGGAGAAGTAATCTGTGATTTGGTTGATATCTTCCTCTTCTTCTAGAAGAGCCAGTGTCTGAAATGATATGAAGAGAGGGATTTCTTTGTTGTAAGTACTTTTTATTGAAAATTTTCTGGGGGTTTTGGGACCATATCCAGTGGTGCTTGGGAATTACATGCAGGGCTAATGTGGTGCCCTGGTTCAAACCTGAGTTGGCCGTGTGCAAGACAAGTTTCCTAACCACTGTACTCTATCTATGTGGCCCCAAGGAGATTTTTTTTTTTTTTAGCTTTTTTGGGTCATACCCAGGAATGCACAAGGGTTACTCCTGGCTCTTCACTCAGGAATTACTCCTGGCAGTGCTCGGGCGGCCATATAGGATGCTGATAATTGAACCTGGGTCGGCTGCGTGCAAGGCAAATGCCCTACCCACTGTGCTATCACTCCAGCCCCAAGAAGATTATTTTTAAATAATGAAATGTTAGCCTTGGTCATTATATAGATTCTGGTTTTATTTTTTTTTAAATTCACACTCCCTTACTCCCGCTGCATTTCTCTTTCCTTTTATTTACTGTTTTAAACATTTCATTTATTTTTAAGTTCTTGGATTTGTTTTGGGGCCATACGCGGCAACTGTTAGGGGTTACTCCCGGCTCTGAACTCAGGATTGACTCCTGGTGGTGTTCCCAGGACCATAAGGGGTGCTGGAGGCTGAACCCGGGTCAGCCGCATGCAAGGCAAGTAACCTACCCATGTACGATCACTCTGGCCCCTCTTCCCTTTGTTGCTGATGTGATGAATAGGGTCAATATTGACTGTGGTGCTCATATTCAGTTTAATATAGTGTGCCAGACATCCTACAGTATTGGGGCACCAATGATTATAAATGGTACCATAATAGTAATGATTGTAAATGTTGCTGGGCTCACTCTCAACATGTGAGCTGGTACCAGGGATCAAACTTGTGGCCTTATGACTGCAAGGCAGGTATTCTACCACTCACCTATATAGAACCTCCTAAATTTTTATTTCAAATTTGAAATACGGTTTTGAGACAGACTAACATGGCAAGAATGAAGCAAAAACTGAAATACAAAGGAATGAACACCAAATTCACAACAGATGTCACATATGAAACCACATAAGCAAGATGACAATGGACTGACATATTCAAAATAGTACAGGAGAAAATCTTCAACCTTGGGTCCAAGGCTGTCATTTAAGTTTGAGGGAGCATTAGGCGGGAACCCTGAGAAAATGGTGGAAGCAAGAGGAAGAAAGGTCTGATGCTGAAATAATGGATGCATAAAACCCTACCATTGACAGTATGACAAAACTGTAAATCATGGTTGTTAAAAAAAAATAAGATATGGGTCTGTAGTGATAGTACAGTGGGTAGAGTGCTTGCTCTGCACACTACTGGTTTAATCCCCAACACTGCTGGGTGTTTCCCAAAACCAAACAAAATTAAACATATAAGAGCCCTAAATGGGGAACTAGTAGAACTGGGATTAAATAACATATACAGGGTCCTCCATCCTCAAAAAGACGAATATACATTATTCTCTAGTATACATGGAACATTATTCAGGATAAATCACATAAGAAGGCATAACTCAAAACATATAAAAACTTACAAATAAGAAATCATACTAAGTATCCTCTCAGGCCACAGTGCCATGAGGGCAGCAGTTAATCATAAAAAAAAAAGATGAAAAAAACTCCAATACCTAGAAGCTGAACAAAAACTAAGTAACATCTGTATTAAAGACAAAATAAAAGAAGAAATAAAAAAACTTCCTTGAAACTGAGAATGAAATAAAACCCAAACTATCATAATCTCTGGGTCATAGTAGTAAGGGGAAAAGTCATAGAAATTTTTCTATATAGGCCTACGTAAGGAAAGAAGAAAAAGCTCAAATCAACAACCTAAACACATTTCTTAAACACCTGGGGAAGGAACAACAAATGAATCTCAAAACTTGTAGAAGGAAGGAAAAAATAAAAGTCAGAGCAGAAAGTGGAAGTCAAGAAAGCAGAGTCAATGAAACTAGGAGCTGGTTCTTTAAAAGAATAAACAAGATAGACAAAGCTTTGGCTTTACTCGTAATTTATGAAAGGGAAAATGCCCAGATAAATCATCAGAGATGAAAGAGAAATTACAACAGACCCCTCAGAAATTCAAGATGTCATAGGAGTTTACTATGAATAACTGTGCTGTAGAACCAAGAAAAGAAATGGAACGATTCTTAGAATCACTTAATTTATCAAAATTAAGCACGGAGGAAATAGAAAATCTGAACAGGCAGGGCTGGAGTGATAGCACAGCGGTAGGGCATTTGCCTTGCATGCAGCCAGCCCGGCTGAGCCGGGTTCGATTCCTCTGCCCCTCTTGGAGAGCCTGGCAAACTACCAAGAGTATTCAATATGACAAACACAGTAACAAGAAGTCTCACAATGGAGACGTTACTGGGATAAAATGATTGGAAGAAACCTTCCTCAAGAAAGGTTAATAGTCATCCATATTAAACCCACAGCCAATATAATTTATAATGGTGAAAACTCAAAGTACTCCCCCCTGAAATCAGGCACAAAAGTGGACTCTGTTTCCACTTTATCCAATATAATAGTTTTATTTTTGGACATAGATTTATATAGATTGCAAGAGCAATCTAAAAAGAAAAAGAAATCTTAAGGAATTAGAAAAGAAGTTAAACTACCACTATTTGCAAATGACATAATATAATAAAAGAATCTAGAAAGCCTAAAAAAGTCCCTAGAAACAATAAACCAATACAGCAAATAAGCCATCTACAGAGTAACACACAAAAGACTGTTGCATTACTTTATGCAAATAATAAACTAGAAGAGATAGAAATCAGAGCGTTTTACTCCTTTCAAAACAGTGTCAAAAAAAAAAATCAAGTACCTAGGAATCAACTTAACAAAAGATCTACATCATGAAAACTAAAAGTTCTTAGGAAAAAATGAAGTCATGAAACTTGCCTATAAATGGATGGACATGGAGAATTATCATGCTGAGTGAAATGAGTCAGAAGAAAAGGCACAGATACAGAATGGCTACATTCATTTGTGGTATATAAACAATACATAGTAGAAGACTAATATCTATGGCCAGGGAAAACAGGGGTTAGGAGCACTGGTTAGTAGTTGGAATCAACCACAAGTGTGTGGGGCTGAGGGTAGGTAAGATGGAGAAGAGACCAGTACGACAGTAATAGCTGGGAATGATCACACTGGACAAGAACTGAGTGTTAAAAGTAGGTAAAAGGGATATTCTTGATAACCTTTCAGTATCAGTATTGCAAACCACAATGCCCAAAAGGCGGGGGCGGGGAAGAGAGAGCAGAGAGTGAGAGAGCAAGAGGGAGAGCGAGCAAGCGAGCGAGAGAGCAAGAGCAAGACCGAGAGAGAGAGAGAGAGAGAGAGAGAGAGAGAGAGAGAGAGAGAGAGAGAGAGAATGCAAAAGCAAGGGAAGTGGTGCGGGGTTGGTGGGTAATGGGAGCGACACTGGTGCTAGGATATGTACACCAGTGGAGGGATGGGTGTTGGAACACTGTAAGACTGAACTGAATCATGAACAGCTTTGTAAGGGTCTATCTCATGGTGACTCAGTTTAAAAAAGCAAAACAAAACAAAATTGAAAGTCACTTATGAAAGAGAAAAGAAAAAGTAGGAAAATATTCTGCATTCATGGATTGGATCAATACTGTCAAAATGACCATCCTATCTAAATTATTATATATGGATTCAACACAATCCTATTCAAATTCTGATGACATTCTTTAAGGATGTAGAATGATCAGTATAAAGTTAGTATGAAATCATAAAATATCTCGAAGAGCCAAAGCCACACTGAGAAATAAGAAATTAGGAGGTATCTCTATCTAACTTGAGATAGTACTACTAAGATACAATAATAAAAAAAAAGCATGGTATTGGAATAAGGATAGACTCTCTGACCAATTAGTTAGAATCAAGTACCCTCACCCCCCGAGATCTCCAGATTTATAGTTTGCTAGTTTTCAAAAAAGGAGCTGGGTATGTGAAGTGGAGTAAAGAGAGCCTCTTCAAGGGGGCAGAATGGTAGTACAGCGGGTAGGGAGTTTGCCTTGCACTAGGCCGATCTGGGTTTGATCTTTGGCAACCCGTATGGTTCCCCAAGCCTGCCAGGAATGATCTCTGAGCACAGAGCCAGGAATAAGCCCTGAGAACGACCAGGTATGGTATAATAATAATAATAATATTTATATTATATTGTTATATGCATATATTATACATAATACATTATATAATATATATTATAAGGCCCTCCCATTGATCGTCGATTTGCTCGAGCGGGCCCAGTAACGTCTCCATTGGAAACTTCGTTGTTACTGTGTCTGGCATATCAAATACTCTCGGTAGCTTGCCGGGCTCTCCGAGAGGGGCGGAGGAATCGAACTCAGGTCGGCCATCTTGGCCGCTTGTAAGGCAAATGCCCTACAGCTGTGCTATCGCTCTAGCCCATATATTATAATATAATTGTTATTATTATTATTATATGCAGAAGTGATAGATAGCACAGCGGTAGGGCGTTTGTCTTGCACGCAGCCAGCATGGCCGACCTGAGTTCGATTCCTCCGCCCCTCTCGGAGAGCCCGGCAAGCTACCGAGAGTATCTCGGCCGCACAGCAGAGCCTGGCAAGCTCTCCGTGATGTATTCGATATGCCAAACACAGTAACAGCAAAGTCTCCAATGGAGACATTACTGGGCCCACTCGAGCAAATTGATGAACAATGGGAGGACAGTGACAGTGACAATAATAATAATAATAATAATAATAATAATGAAGAGCCTCTTCAATAAGTGGTGGTGGGAAAACAGGATAACCATTTTTTAAAAAATAAGCTGAACTCATATCTCACAGCTTACACAAAGAACAATTCTAAGTGTATCAAAGAGCTTTAGATCACAATCCATAAAATACAATGAGAAAAATATAGGCACAAGATTTGGACCTCAAAGCATTTTCCATGGCATGATTTTATTGGCAAAGGCAACAGAAACAAAAACAATGGGACTACATCAAATTAAAATTTTTCTGCATGGCAAAAAAAAAAAAGTAGGCTAAAACTAAAAGACACCCAACTCAATGGGAAAAAAATATGCACTTAACATATTTATGGGGTTTATGTTCAATAACATAAAGAATAAAGAATTCACAAAGATCAACATAGCAAAATCAAAAGCCTTATTAAAAAATAGGGATTGGAAATGAACATATACTTCTCTGAAGACAGATGGCCCGTAGGCACATGAAAAAAGTGCTCATCATCACTTCGTTATCAGAGAAATCTAAATTAAGGTGGGAATGAGATTCAATCTCACACCAGTGAGAACAGAACTTGTTAAAAACAAACAATTGGGAATAATCTGTGTTGGCAGGGAAAATGCTGGAAAGGAACTTTTATCCACTTCTGGTGGGAATGTTGTCTGGTTCAGCCCTAATGGAAAACAGTATGGAGATTTCTCAGAACAATAAGAATAGAGATGCCACATGACTCAGCAGTTCCACTTCTTGGTATCTATCCCCAAGACACAAAAGCAGTAGTTTGAAAGGACACATTCACACCATTATCCATTGCAGCATTCAATAGTTAGGAGGTGAAATCAACCCCTAGGTGTCCAACAATAGCTGGATAATGAAGTTGTGATACAAACACACACACATACACAGGAATACTATGCAGTCACAAGAAATGATGTTATTATGTATTTCACTGCAACTTGGGTGGGAATGAAGGCTCTCATTTATTTTTTGTCTCCCAGTGATGCTCAAGACATAATCCTGGCTCTGCACTCAGAAATCACTTCTGGCAGGGCACGGGGGACCATATGGGATGCCAGGGATCGAACCTGGGTCAGCCACATGCAAAGAATATGCCCTCCCCACTTTACTACAGCTCTGGCCCAGAATCTTATTATAAGTGAAGCAAGTTAGAAGAAGGACAATTTCAGATAATTGTACTTATCTGTGGTGTACAGAATAATAGGACAAGGGAATGCAAGGTACCAAAGGGAGGACGCTTAGATTACCCCTCACCCTAGACGACAGGAATGGGAAGGAAAGGGAAGGGAAAAAAATGGATGAGGATGTAAGAAGAGGTAGATGGAGATGATATGGGCAGGGTTCAGCCAGCCGTGGGCACTCAGGTGGTGCAGAGGTGAGGTACATCTATATATCTAACCCACACAGCCAACAACACAGGAAGCATGAGACCCAAACTACAATAACCGAACTTCAAAATGTTCCTATTAAGAAGACCATCTAGGGGGATGGGATGGAACACTGGTGGGACTGTGTTGGAATACTGTATGCCTGAAATTCTATTATGGACAACTTTGTAAACCATGGTGCCTTAATAAAAACATTAAAATTTAAAAAAATATGGGGCCAACTCTAGTTCAACACCCACCACTGAATATGGTCCCCTGAGTACCTCCAGGAGTGGTCCCTCCATATAGAACCAGGATGATGCTCTGAGCACAGGTGTGTCTGTTGGGTAACATTGCTTCTTTCCTTCAAGAAGCTTAGGTTTTATCTGGTTACACCCATTCATCTGGTTACACCCATCAATCTGGTTACACCCATCACAGTGCTCCTGAAGCACTTCCACTTCCATTGTGTTTACATGTAAACATGTAAACAGTCTTCCCTATGCTCTCCTTCCCACCCAGTTAATCAGCTTTCCCCTTAATCAGACTTTGTTAATTTGTAAGATCAGTTTCCCAGAAATCTATGATTTTATATGTATGAGTGAAATATTGCCTTTCTCCTTTCCTTATGCCTTATGAATAGTTTACCTTAAGGTAATATCCTTTTTGTATAGATACAGGAAGACCGTTAACATTATGCTTTGTAACTTAGGATTTGATTGGCCTTGAATATTATTGACTCCTGGGCATCTGCTTTCTCGACTTAGCCTCAGTTGCCCTTAGTTCCTAACACCCCAAAGCAGGGTCCCGACGAGGGACTGAATGGACCCAGGGCAAGCGGTGAGCTACCCTGGCAGCAAAATGGGCCAGGCCAAAGTGCCACGATTCTTAACTAAGAGTTTGATCATGGACAAATGCTGTCATGATCCAAGGTAACGACAAGACTAGGATCCTGCTAGGGGTGGGAAAGACTATCTGGCCTGAGCACCGTAGTCTGAGATCGAGATGGCCCTAGGAGAGCAATTCTATAAGTTTAAGATATTTCTTACTGTATCCATACAAAATGATTTATATTCTTGTATGCTTGTCGGACGAGGAGAGGCACGCCCATGGGATTCTGCTCTAGGGTGGGTCCTCCTGCTGAGGAAGGATCTGTCCTAGGAGCGGTCTTCCCTGAGGCTAAGATTTCTACCCCTATTGATTGCAACTGCACCTAATTGTTTCCCCAATTCCTCATGGAGAGAGGATTTAACTGTACTGTAGGAGCGGGCTGGGGAGAAGGAAGAAGAGAGTTCAGAGAGGATCAGAACCCAGACTCCAGAGAAGGAGGATGAAGGGGAATGGAGAAGGAGAATGAAGTAGCTGGGGGAGGAAGAATGGGGGCAGAGACAGAAGGAGAGATGAGGAGAGAATCAGAATAAACTACGACTAATACCTACCAGCCTGGCCCTCGTTCCTTCCTCCGCCTGACCATCGCCATCGACCTCTCCGGGGTGGTAGAAGGTTGAGACTACCGAACGCGGGTGGCGGGAGAGATAGAGCCGCCGCCGTGTGGGTGCCGTGCCCCCTATTTGTGTGAGTTTACACATGTGTCTCCCCAAAAACAACCCCCTAAAACACAACCAAAAGATGACTGTATTTTTAGAAAATAAAACAAGTTCAATGCAAAAATATGTTTCATGAGGCAAATATATTAATTTGATAAAATATCTTAATAATTATAGATAATTGGGGCTGGAGCAGTAGTAATACAGTGGGTAGGGCATTTGCCTTGCATGCAGCCAACCTGGGTTTGATCCCTGGCATTGAATATAGTCCCATGAGCACTGCCAGGACTTATTCCTGAGTCTAAAGCCAGGAGTAATCCATGAACACCGCTTATGTGGGTCTCCCTAATATAAATAATAGTTAAAATATAAGTGATTGGGAAACTTCATATATATGTATATATATATACACACACACTCACATACATATATTTATGCACATGCACATATGAGAGAACACATACGAAATGATGCTATTTGTGTTAGGGTAATAGAATGTGGCTATTCTTCTGTTTTCCAAACTTGCTTGTAATGTTTCATATTACAAAATGTTCTTTAATATGCATAAAGCAGAATGTATAATAAAATAAACACAAGCATGTCCTCTTATTTTCACACAGCTGACTGTCATAAAATGAAAGAGTAAGTATCTGTTGAGAGTGGCCTTAAGGAGGGTAAGTTGGCAGGATCTATCAAATGAAAAAAGTACATAACATTTTATCCAAGATTTTCCCTTGAGTACTCTCTCTAGAGAAAATTTTACCCTTATACCAAAGTGGAAAGTACTAGGATGTTCACTGTGTTATAACTGTGAGTCTAGGACAATGAACACTGTTAAAAGAAGAATAAGCAGTATACTCAATCCATACATTATGCAGGAGTTGAATTACTTTATAAGAATGGAAATGAGCACCAGAACTTATTATTACATGAGAAAGACAAGTAAACAGACTAATAAGTATTACCCTACTGGGGCTGGAGGGATAGCACAGCAGGTAGGGTAGTGCTTGCCTTGCTGACTTGAGTTTGACCCCTGGAATGACATATGGTCCTCTGAGCCTGCCAGGAATGGTCCCTACTGCAGAGCCAGGACTAAGCCCTGACACCCCCCCAAGTAGTAAGTGCATGGCCCTCCCCCACAAAGTATTATCATACATATTTAAAAAATATAAAGCTATATAATCCATATATACAAGGGAACAACAGATAATATGGGTTACTATTTTTTATATATATATGTATATTTCTATAGAGACATATAAAAGTTATATATACTTTGGTATATCTGTTCTACCGTTTGCCTGTTTTTTTTAGCATGTCTTTACTTTGTATGCCCCAGATAAAGAAAATAAAGGGTAAATAAGGTCACAGTAGTAGCTAAGGATTAATTTAAAACATTTGATTCTTTTAAGTATGACAAACTCTCTTTTTCTTTTTTTTTTGGGGGGGCAGTATATTCAGAGATGCTCAGGGGTTACTCCTTGCTCCACACTCAGGAATCTCTCCTAGCAGTGTTGGGGGGACCATATGGAATGCAAGCATCCCATCCTCTGTACCATCTTTCTGACCCAATTCCACTTTCTTTAGATGAAGAGATGCTTGAACAATCAAGCACGAAGGTTTCCACAGTAAAAAGCTCCCACTGGTGGTCAAACTTTCTCACTGATATAGCATATAAAGTAACTGAATCAATGCTTCTTAAAATAAAATGTTAGTGCTTATCTCAGCAGGGGCTGCATCACTTCAGTGCTGAGAGAATCCGGCGGCAATTACTTCTCTGCCTGAGGCTCTCTCACCTTTCAGTCCTGGGCACCCTCTCAGGGCACCGGAATCTTTCCTCCAGCTCTCGAAACAGTCTCTAGTTTCTGGGCATTGGCTGCTTCTTCACCTAGAATCCCCTTTTTACATTCAATATTTTATTTTGGAGAACAGGTAATCTCTACCAGCAGGCTCAGGTGATAATCCTGCGAAGTAACTGCATAGTTCTTTAAGCTGTTTCGAGGTGAGGTGGGGCAATCTGCACTTGTCTGTTTCATGTCACAAGGTATATCTAGAGGCAGGGACACATCTCATGAGCTGCCAGAGCTACTGGAATAAGGGGATGATTGAGAATGAGTGACTGAAAGTCGTGACAGTGCCTTGCATACTGGTGACATAGTCATAAGAATGCTCTTTAAATTACTCTTGACATAAATCCGAAAAGGTGCATACTTGCAAAAAGTTGCTTTTCCTTATCTCTGTCGAAGTAATTTTTCCACTCCAAGACCTGTTGACTGTGTAGAATATTCTCTGAATAACCTGGATCCAAGAGGAAAACAGTCAAAGAAAAACATTAATAAATGAAAAGGAAACAGACATTATCAAACAATGACAAAGTGTTTGATTACAAAATTCAGATAACTAAATAGTGGGGTAGGAATGGGGGTGAGGAGGAGGTGGACTAGAAGAAATACATGGACATTGTTGGAGGGTGTTGGGCACTCTGGTGGTGGTGAGGGTGCAATAATTTTGTACATCAATACCAGAAATGTCAATGCTATATTAACCATGTTACTTATTAAAGGGAAGAGGGACCGGAGACACAGTACAGTAAGTGCAGCACTTGCTTTGCATGCGGCAGACCCAGGTTTGATCCCTGGTACCCCATAAGATCCCCTAGGCCCTCGAGGAGTGATCCCTGAGGAGTGAGCCAGGCATCAGTCCTGAATACCACCAGGTCTGGCCCAACCCCAGGAAGGAAGGAAGGAAGGAGGGAGAGAGGGAGGGAGGGAGGAAAGAAGGAAGGAAGGAAGGAAGGAAGGAAGGAAGGAAGGAAGGAAGGACAGAAATCCTTAAGTAAGATTTTTCCAAAAACTAGTTTTGTGAAGCCATTACTGTACAAAATGGTGAAACATTTTTTCTTACCACAGTATTTAGGAAAGTGAGAGGATTCTTGCACTTTGGGTAGGAGAGGGGATTAAGTGCTGTGTGATTTTCTCTACTTGGCCCAGTAAGCCAGACTCTGAGGTAGGGGTCCCTTATTTAGCACAGAGAAAGTATCTTTTTGAAAAAACACCACTGACTAAGCAAGTGAAAGCAAAGATAAACAAATGAAACTACATTAAATGAAGAAGTTTCTGCATCTTCTGGGAAAATTCCCTAGGGGCCCAAAGCACAATACAGAAAAGCCATCTGCACTCTTATGTTCATTGCAGCACTATTCACAGTTGCCAGACTCTGGAAACAACCCAAGTGCCTGAGAACAGATGACTGGATAAAGAAACTATGGTACATCTATACAAGGGAATACTATGCTGCTATTAGGAAAAATGGTGTCATGGAATTTGCTTATACATGAATGGACATGAAGAGCATATGCTGAGTGAAATGAATCAGAGGGAGAGGGACAGACACAGAATGATCACTCATTTGTGGGATATAAAAAAATACTATGAGAATAATACTCAAGGACAATAAAGACGAGGGCCTGGAAGGAAGTTTACCAGGGGAGTGCATTTAGGACAGAGAAGGGACCACTATAACAGTGATCACTCTGGATAATAACTGAGTGCTGAAAGGAGGTTAAGTGCTAAATATGACAGAACCTTTCAGTAGCACTACTGCAAACCACAGTGAAGAGAGAGAGAGAGGAGAGACAGAGACAGAGAGGAAGAGGGAGAGAGAGAGGACAAGAGAGTGTGTGTCTGCATAGAGGCAAGCTGGTGGGGAGTGCAGGAGGGAAACTGGGGACATTGGTGGTGGGAAATGTGCACTGGTGAAGGGATGGCTGTTGGAGCATTGTATGACTGAAACCCAACCATGAACAACTTTGTACATGTATCTCATGGTGATTCAATTAAAAAAAATTTTTTTTGTGCTTCCAGGAATTGAACCCAGTCCACACACACTGCAAAGCATCCGCTGTACCGCTAAGCCACACTCAGTGCCCTACAGTGTAGGATAACACTGTTTTGTCCTTCCTCAGGTAGTTTAGGTTTATCGGGTCACACCCATCCCAGTGCTCCTGTACCACTCCCATTTTTTGTTTACTTATAACTACTTCTCTATGCTTTCTTCCCCAAACAGTTAATCAGCTTATTCCCCAAATCAGTTTCTGTTAATTTGTAAGGTTAGATCTTTGTAGGACACTGGACTTATATTGTAAGTTAATATTGCCTTTCTTGTCTCCTTATGTCTTTTGAATAGTTTACTTTAAAGCAATGTCCTTTTGTATAGACACAAGAAGACCATTAATATTATGCTTTTGTAACATGGAATTTAATTGGCTTCGAATATTATTCATTCCCGGGCATCTGCTTTCTCAACTTAAGTCTCAGTTGCCCTCACTTCCTAGTGCCCCCTAAAGCATGGTCCCGACGAAGGACTGGATGGAACCAAGGTAAGTGGTAAGCTATGTGCTACCCTGAGATGGGCCTGACCAAAGCACCACAATTCTTAACTATAAGTTAAGAATGCTGTCATGATCCAAAAGTAATGACAAGACGAGGACCCTGCTAGGGATAGGAAAGACTAATCTGGCCTGAGAACTGTGGTCTGAGATGGAGAATGACCCCAAGAGAGCAATTCTATAAGCTTAATGCATCTCTTACTGTGTCCATACAAAATGAGTAATATTATGAATGCTTATATGTTTGTTGGACAAGGAGAGGAGAAACACACCCATGGGATTCCTGCTGAAAGAGAATCTGTCCTAGAGGCAGCATCCCCTGAGGGAAAGAACTTTAATCCTATTGATTGTGACCACACCTATGTGTAAACCCAGCCCCTCAAGGTTTTTTTGGGATTTAACTAGACTAGAGTGGGCTGGGGAAGAAGATGGGGGTGAGATCCAGAGTCAGAGATTGGGGCCCAGGAGAGAAGGAGAGAGACAGGAGTGAACGGGGATGAGAATGGAATAAACGGCATCTGATCAATCAACCAGCTTGGCCCTTGTCTCCTCTGCTGTCTGCCCCAGGGCCTGGGCCACACCTGCTGGGGGAGTGGCCTGGGCCTCCCAGAACCTGGGCGGCCAGGGGAGGAGCAGTCAGAGTTTTTACACTAGAGTCACAGTCCTCCCGTTGTTCATCGATTTTGCTCGAGCGGGCCCAGTAATGTCTCCATCATGAGACTTGTTGTTACTGTGTTTGGCATATCGAATATGTCACGGGTAGCTTGCCAGGCTCTGCCGTGAGGGCGAGATACTCTCAGTAGCTTGCCGGGCTCTCCGAGAGGGGCGGAGGAATGTATCTTAATATTGCATTCTTAGCGTTACTTTGGCAGCATCCATTAAAAACATTGGAGGATTTTTAGCATAGAAATTATAGGCATTGGGGCTGGAGTGATAGCACAGCAGGTAGGGCGTTTGCCTTGCAAGGACCCACAGCCGACCCGGGTTTGATTCCAGCATCCCATAAGGTCCCCGGAGCACCTCCAGGAGTCATTCCAGAGTGCATGAGCCAGGAGTAACCTCTGTACATAGCCGGGTGTGAACCAAAAAGGAAAAAAAAAAAACCCTAAACATTAGAACTTTCATGTACCTCCTCGGAAGTTCAAGTGTGGGGTGTGTGTGTATATATTGGGTCTCCCTAGCAGTGTGCTCTGGGGTACGGAGACCATACCTGGTGATCCTCAGTCAGCAATGGGAGTGTGGTACAGATGCCTGCTTTGGCATCTTGGCGATGCATGGGGACTCCAGGGAGGAAACGCAGGCGGGTTTGGTGCATGTGAGTCATGAGCCCTAACCTCTGTACTGTCTCCTTAGCCCCCAATACAGAATACTGTAACAAACTTTCCTTTGTTAAACTATCAGTTTTGTCCTTATTTATTGATTTTGAAATAAAGTCTGTTTCCTATTTGAATTTTGTATTTATTAAATAACAAAAATTTCATATGAAATGTGAAAATATGTTATACTTAAAAATCACAAAATTAGTCTGTATTTATTTTTGCTTTTTTATTCTTTTTTGTTTTTTTCTCACAAAAAATTGCAAACATTTTAATGGTTACGTTTCCTATTTTTAGTCTCTGCTAGCCTATTTAGCTAATACTATTTAAAAAAAAAGTACCCATATTCTATTTCCCACAGTCTATATCTCCTTAATCAGTGGTCCTTCTACATCTGCACACTGGTTGGTTTATAGATTATGGATTCTGCATTTTAGCTTTTCTGGGTAGGGGCACCATCTAGTGGTGAGCACGTGGAGCTGCTGGTTCTACATTAGGGCTGGCTTTTCCTATTTTGGTCTCCCTTTCAGGTAAATAACAAAGAATAGCACTGTAGCACCACAGCACTGTCCTCCCATTGTTCATCAATTTGCTCGAGCGGGCACCACTAACGTCTCCATTGTGAGACTTGTTACTGTTTTTGGCACGTGGAATATGTCACAGGTAGCTTGCCAGGCTTTGCCGTGCGGGCGAGATACTCTTGGTAGCTTGCCGGGCTCTCAAGAGGGGTGGAGGAATCGAACCCAGGTTGACTGTGTGCAAGGCAAACGCCCTACCAGCTGAGCTATTGCTCCATAGTTTTAAAAATATCAAATAAAATGGAAAATAAACAACAGTGACAACTGTTTAATGGCTAGTGTGAAGAGTGTATCTGCCAATAAACCAGGGATCTAATCAATTTCAATTGACAATTAGAATCATAAGTCACTTTTCTTTTTATTTATTGCACTGGAAGACTAATTAATTTGCAATTATAGGTCACTAGAAATAGATGTGGGTATTTGGTGGCTCTGGGCTGGAGCGACAGCACAGCGGTAGGGCGTTTGCCTTGCGCACAGCTGGCCGGCCGAGCTGGGTTCAATTCCTCCACCCCTCTTGGAGAGCCTGGCAAGCTACCCATGACGTATTCAATATGCCAATCACAGTAACAACAAGTCTCACAACGGAGATATTACTGGGCCCGCTCGAGCACCTCGGTGAATAACAGGAGGACCGTGACCATGATTTGGTGGCTCTGTCAGCTAGTTTTTGGCAACTGGATAAGAAACAGACACAAAGAATTAAAAAGAGCAATTGAATAGCGGGTAGGGCATTTGCCTTGCACACAGCCGACCTGGGTTCAATCCCCGGCATCCCATATGGTCCCCCAAGCACTGCCAGGAGTAATTCCTGAGCAGAGAGCCAGGAGTAACTCCTAAGCATCACTTTGTGTAAACCAAAAAGCGAAAAAAAACAGAAAACAAAAACGCGAATTAAAAGATATGTCTGGGATGAAGAGAGAGCATAGGGGTTAAGGTGCCTGCCATCAATGCAGCTGACCCTGGTTCAGTAGGAGGTTCAAGGGTGGGTGGTGGGAAGCAGAAACTTGGATCTTGTCCTTGGCAGGGCTGTAGTAGTTTCTTGATCTACTCTGTGGGTAATAAAGTTTGCAAAGTGTAGTCTTTTTGCAGAATTTTGACTTAAGAATTATCCATTTTTCAGTCACCAGGAAAATTTCTTAGGATCAAAAAATTAAACTAGGGCAGGAGTGATAATACAGCAGGTAGGGCACTTGCCTTGCATGTGACTGGTTTATCCAGGTTCAATCCCCGGTATAGGGTCCCCCAAGCACCTCCAGGAGTAATTCCTGAGTGCAGAACCAGGAGCAAACCCTGAACACTGCTGGGCATGACCCCCCAAAAGCAATAAAACAAAACAATACAACAAAAACCCAACCCCCAAAAATCTATCAGTGATGAACAGTCTCCATTACACCTCAGTTTTCTTGGAAACTATCAGTACCTTGTCATCAGCAATTAAAATCCTGACATTTCAGCCTGTAGTGATGGATTCGGACCAATCTAGATAATGAATATTTCATGAAGACACCATGTGAGCAAGCCACAGAAATATCTTTACTTCCAGCACCAATATCACAAAGAAATATTTCCAGTCTCAGTGTTTAAAAACTCATGAGACTTTCTCCTTGGAAACCAGCATGTGCCAATATGGATAAACAATTCAGATAAACAGAGTCTTTTCACCAGCAAACTCCAAACTCAAGGAAGGACATTTCAGGAAGAGGAAAGAGGAAGAGCATAAAGCCTGAGGCAGAAGTGGGTTTGGTCTGTTCCAGGAAAAGTGACCAGGCCATTGTGGGTAAGGGACAGGGCTCAGGGACAGGGAAGTAAGAGGTAAGATCAGAGCACAGGGACTGTGAGGGTATGTCCAAGATTATAAAGACTCTTGGAAAGGATTCTTCTTATTTTGCTTTTTCGGCCACACCTGGCGATGCTCAGGGTTTATTCCTGACTCTGCACTCAGGGACTGCTCCAGGCGGTGCTCAGGGGACCATCTGGGATGCCAGGGATCAAACCCGGGTTGGCTGCATGCAAGGCAAACACCCTACCTGCTGTACCTGGAAAGAATTTTTTTTTTATTGTTTTGGTGGGGTTAGAGGGTTGCTTAGGAGCTCCCAAGCAGTGTGCGGATATCTGGGGCCACTCTTGGTAATACCTGGCCAACTGGGACAGACGGCTCAAGTGAAGATCTAAGCATGTGTTGCTGCACAGTGCCTGCGGTGCTAGGGACCAGCAGGGCCATGCCCAGCAGTGTTTTGGGATCTCCAGGGCTACAACTTGGGATGGGGAGGGGACAACCCAGGGCTGGGTTCGTGTAGAGCATGTACCGCTAACTCCTATGCCATCTCCCAGCCTAGGACGGATTTTATTCTGAGTGAATGGGAACCTCTGGAGAACTCAGAGAGGAGTGACGTGACTTGACCTACATTTTCACAAGATTACTCTTTGTGGAGATCAAACTGCAAAGCAGTGAGATTACAAACAGGAAGACCAATTAACGTAATCTGGGTGAGAAATGAGGGTGACTGGGTCAGGGTTCTTGTGGGGACAAACATAATTTCCTAGATAGTTTTAATTGATGGTGTCACTGTCTGGCTCAAATATAATGTTATAAAATTTCTTTGTTTCTGAGCCACACCCTGTGGTGCTCAGGGCATACTTTCGTTTCCCTCCAGGATCCTGGTGGTGCTTGTGCACCTGATGCATGGGTTGGCTTCATTTAAGACGAGCACCTGCCTCCTGTACTATGCGTCTGGCCCCAAAGCTAGAAGTTTTATAACAGAAGAGAGCCAACATCAAAGTGAAGAGTGATTTCCTACTAGAGGGAAAAAAGTGGCAGTATTGTATAATTTAACACAATTCAACAAGTCCGGGGTCAACAAAAAGGTACCCTCTAGGACTTTTCACAGAGGAGAAAACGCTGCTGATGTCAGTACCTAAGCCAGAAGCAAGAACCACCTCACTGGAAATGTGGCTGTGAATACAAGGGATGCTTTGGGTTTGTTTTGGAAACACTCCTGAGATAATCTGGGAGCCCTGGCAGAGACCGTGTGAGGCAAGTGCAGTGTGAGCTGTGGGTCTGTGTGTGCTCTCTCATAGTTCATGCCCTGCCAGTGACTGATCAGTGAGGCTGGGATGAGAAAGAAGAAGGATTTCACACAAAATCGTGATGCTGCTATTTTAAATTCTTACAGGCTTTGTTTTTGATCACATGCATCCACTCTCATTTTCATTTCCAATTTTAACTTCTAGGTACTTTTTTTCTGGAAAGGCCATTAAAATTTTCCTTTTAATATTATTTACGATTACTAAACCGAGTGTCAGTATGCATGACAAAGTAAAGGACATATGCCTTACAAGGTCAGACAGGATGAATCTATTATGTTAAGTCCAGACTTAAGGCAACTCTAAGTAAAACAACCTATCATGAAAACACGTTCATAGTAACACCTTTCATTCAAAGATGGTCAAATTTTTTTCCTCATCAGTTTTTAAAAATGTTGCGTGAAACAATACTGTTAGGAAACTTGCTGTATTTTAATTTTGTATACAAAAGACCTATTTACCAATGGACATATACAAGAAAGAAAGCAGATATAAAGATTAAATTTTCTATACTTTCAGCAAGATGTGCACACTTAAAATGATCATCACAATCCTATTTCCTTTTGCATGAAGATCTGGATGTGTGACTTATACAGTGATAGAAAGAGAAGTAGAAGGGCATCCTAGCTGAACATGAATTAAGACAAAAGAGGCATTGGCCTACCGTGGTGATATACCGGGAGTGGAATTCTGGAGCGTCTTTCAGGAACGTGAGGCCAGGGTGTGTATCCACCACATCCTGAAAAAGATCAAAACCATAATTAAATTACTTAAAAAAATCCAATTAAAAAAAAAAGCTTGGGGGGTATGGTGCCGCCAGCAGGTCAATCTGTACCTGTGAGGCGAGTGTATCAGCAGCCTCGTGGTGCCTTCAGACTTCTAGATACCCCCAAATTGCTGCTGTGCCTTTAGTCAGATCCCAAAACTTTGGGGCAAAGTTTACCAAGAAAGTGAATGGCCAAAAGTTAGGTATGTGGGAGAAACACCCACAAACCACCTCTGGCTCAGCTATATAATTGGAGGTATGGCCTCTCTGGTTCCTGATTGAACTGCTTAATGGCCATGATCCCAGAGTCTCAGAAACAAATCTCGAAACCCAACGGCTTTTGGCAGAAATGCATGTGGGCCATGTAGTAGGTTACTGTCGCCAGGCCACCCCAGGGGGGAAAGGGTGCTGTCCCTCTGCCTGCTCCCCCTTGGTGGCCTAGTGGCTGCCATCTTCCAGAGGCCATTGGACAGTGAGGTTTGGGCCTGCAGTGACGAGACATGTGGGGCCTCACGGGATGGGGGTGGAGCCGGCCCTTTCCTCCCTGTCCCAACAAGACCCTGAGTCGCTGCCCACAAATGGCCTCTGGTTCCTGATCAAGCTACTTAACGGCCATGATCCCAGAGTCTCAGAAACAAATCTCGAAACCCAGCAGCTTCTGGCAGAAATGCATGTGGGCCACGCAGTAGGTTACTGGCTCTGGGCCACCCCAGGTGGGAACAGGTTTTGTGCTTTGGCCTGCTCCCCCTTGGAAGCTGGGTGGCCGCCATCTGCCAGAGACCATTGGACAGTCAGGTTTGGGCCCACAGTGACGAGACACATGGGGCCTTATGGGATGGGGGTGGAGCCGGCCCTTTCCTCCCTACCCCAATGAGACCGCAAGTCACTGCCCACGAACGGCCTCTCTGGCTCTGATCAAGCTGCTTAATGGCCATGATCCCAGAGGCTCAGGAACAGATCTCGGAACCTAGCAGGTTTTGGCAGGAAATCACTCCTGATTTAATTGTTAAAATTTCGGAATTTCAAAATTGCGCAGCCACTACTGCAACCACACGAACGACGCGACATGATATGTTATTCATGACCAGCAATAGAAAACAAATTGTCTACTGTTGCCTTTTTGGCAGATCTAAGTGTTGGGGTAAAATTCCAAATAATAATGGTGGGTGTGGTGTCGAAATGTCGAATGTGATCAAAGTATAGAGCGATTTGGAAATCATCTGCCCCACAGGTAGGGGGAGGGTGTGGAATGAGGGTATACTGGGGTTTTTGGTGGTGGAGAATAGGCACTGGTGAAGGTACGGGTGTTTCACTGTATGACGGAGACTTAAACCCGAAAGCTTTGTAACTGCTCTCACGGTGATTCAATAAATAAAATTATAGAAACTGGGGGGGGGGGGGAAAGTAAGGTGGAGTTCGTGCAAAATTCAATCAGCCTAATCAGTGGCTGAATAAATAGCAGTACTCCTACATAAAAAAAAAAAAAGCCTGCAATTTTTTTCTTCCTGTAAGCTGTAGTAGAGCAAACTTGTTATTCTAGAATACTGAGTAATTCACTTAAAATTTAATCAATGTTTAAATTCAAATTTTATGGTTAAGTTACTTATTTATGTGTGCTTTAACTTATACACAGTATACTTTTATAAAAAGTTAGAATTTAAATTGATCTACATTTGGTACTTGTGAATCAAATGTGATAAAGGTAAATACTATAATTCTAACATATCAAACAAAGCATGTTGGGAGTTTTATCCCACAGATCCTGGTAGGGATTGTAAGTGAAATTTACATAGAAAGGAAGCTATACACAAGCTGACAAGACTGATTCCTTAGAAACATGGGAATTAAAAAAAAAACCTTAATTTTTATGCTAAACTTGTGCTAAATACTGTCATTTGAGGTTAGGACAAGTCATATTAGCCAGTTAAACACCATTAAAATAACTGTGTGGATATCTGTTTTTCAATTTATTCTCTTATTCTAAAATCTGAAATCTTGTTCTCATGGAAGACTATCAGAATATTAAAGCTTTGAAATACTGTTTTTGCTTATTAATTTTAATTTTTTTTGGCTTTTTGGGTCACACCCAGTCATGCTCAGGGGTTACTCCTGGCTCTGCATCCAGGAGTAACTAGCATCCAGGTCATGCTCAGGGGTTACTCCTGGTGGTGCTTGGGGTAATATATGGGATGCCTGGGATCAAACCCAGGTCAACTGCATGCAAGGCCAACACCCTACTCACTGTACTATCACTCTGGCCCCAAAATACTGTTTTCATTTTCTAGTAGAATTGAATGAACCAGAGAACTGATTTATATATGACTGTTATTAAAACCAGAGGTAACAGTAATGTGAGCATAGATAATACATCAATTGGCAAGTCAATATCAGCAGATATAAATTATACTGTTTTCCTTTATTTTCTCAGAGCAATTAGCTACACTTACCTGCCAATACACTCTAATACCAAAACTATTTCCTTTAGTTTTTTTATTTGGGAAAAATTTTATAGTCTTACAGAAAAGTCATAAAAATATTAGAGAAATTCCCTTCTCACAGCTAACCACATGTTAACAACTTATAAGTGATAGTACAATTTTATAAAAAATAAGACACTGATATTGACACAACACTAAACTGCAGACCTAAATAAAAGTTTTTCAGCTTTCCCCCAATGTCCTTCTCTGCTGCAGGATCCTACATCGGATTTCATTCTGCTTTTATTGGGCTCTGTCACGCAGTACTCGCAGTTTTGCCACACTGGTGCTGGGAGTGAGGGTGTGCTGGGGACTGAACCTTTGACATGTAGAACATGTGGCTCGGGGACCTATTTCTGCCATCCTTTGTCTCTTGTAACTCATTTGTCTTTCAAAACTGTACCGGTTATTATTTTTTTTTAAATTTTAAAATCTTTCAGGGGCCGAGAGATAGTGTAGCAAGTAGAACATTTGATCCCCGACACCCCAGGTAGCCCCCTGAGCTCACCGGGAGTAAATCCTGAGCACTGCTGGTGTGGTCCAAAAACGGAAAAAAAAAACCCCAAAAAACTAACGGTTAATGGTCAGGGCTTATTCCTGGCTCTTGCTCCAGGCACTGGGGGTCAAACCATATAGGGCAAGTACCTTGACCCCTGAACTATCTCTCCAGCCCATGTGCCAGTTTTAAAATCATTACAAGTATTTCATAATTCTGACATTTTATTGAGTTCTGGTTATTTTGGGTATTATTATACTCCTTAGAGTCTGATTTTCTTTGGCGGGTGGAGGGGGCGCATTTCTGGTGATGCTCAGAGGTTACTCCTGGTCTGTGCTTAGGAATCACTTCTGGTGGTGCTTGGTGGATCATGTGGGTGCCAGGGATTGAAGCAGGGTTGGCTGCATACAAGGCAAGTGCCCTACTCGCTGTGCTATCTCTCTGTCCCCAGGAGTCTCATTATTTCTCATGATGAGAATATAGGTTATGGTGGAGGCAGAGATTGACTTGTCCTAGACCACCACCTAGAGTGGTGGCAGGCTAATATGACTTGTCCTAGACCTCAAATAAGGTTATATACTTTTAGCATGCCTTACAAGGAATATGGTCTGGTGGTGCTGACTTCGATCATAGTTGAAGTATGTCTGCTATTTTGCTACCAAAAAGTTATTTTTCCCTCCAACAGTTGACAAATATTGTGGGGAGAGATAACAATCAAGTAATTTTTCCTCTCAACAGTTGACAAATATTGTGGGGGAGATAACTGAGACTGCCAGTAAACACCCCATTTCTCTGTAAATATTGGCCCAGGGATTTTAGTTTTCATTGCCAGAAATTGACTGCTAACATTTATGTTATTTACCTAATAGTTATCTATAGCATACTTCACCCAACTTAAGAATATATTTTCTGGGGCTAGAGCGACAGCACAGCGGGTAGGGCGTTTGTCTTGCATGCGGCCGACCCAGGTTCGATTCCCAGCATCCCATATGGTCCCCCAAGCACCATCAGGAGTAATTCCTGAGTGCAGAATCTGGTGTAACCTCTCTGCATCACCGGGTGTGACCCCCTCAAAAAAAAAAAGAAAAAAAATAGTATGTACTCTTTTTTTTTTTAACATAAACAGAATATTTACCAAGACAGACTGCATTCTGGTCACAGTACAAATCTCAATAAACCTAAATTTTTCAGTAACTTTGCCAGTTAGAGGGCCCAGTGGCATTGGCACCCTGGTAACAGTGACCACACTAGCACCCAGACTTGTATCTGAGTACCACTTCCCAGGAAAAGGAATCAGGGATACTTGGAGAAAAGGTTGAGATTCCAGGGATGGAGAGGGAAAAACTTATGATAAGCCTGGACCATTCTGTGCTATCAGAAGATTGGGAGTGTTCCCAAAAGGATGCAGTATGTCAAGCGGACACAGAAGCCAACTTAATATAGTCCCCAATGGCTAACGCTAGACCAATTTAGAGCAACAGAATAATAATAGTATTGAATGATAATGCATAGGATAGAATAAATACCTGTGAATCCTATCTGGCTGGTACTACTGTCAAGATAATTAAAAACAAGGAAAAAGTCTAAGAAACCATCACTGTCAAAAAGAGTCTAAGCCTCTAATGTTATGTGATGTTTTGGAGAAGACCTTGGGATAGCAACAGGATGTAAGGTAGAAATGAAGGAAATGCAAAGAAAGCATGGCCTGTCGTAAGAGTAATAATAATGCATCAACATTGGTTCATTATTAATGTTATGAAGACTAACACAAGGAAGAGCTGTTTGAATTTTATCATGCAAGTACAAAATTCTAAATTCCAGCTTAGTGGTGTGAATCAAAGGTAAACAGAAGGCCAGAAATTTGATCCCTAACAATGACTTCCACATGGTGAGTGTGACCCACTGTTATTAGAATCTCAGCCACCACAAGTGTATAGCACTCATTAGAATCTCTGCCACCACCATAACAGGTGCAGTCTCCAACATACCACAATCAATTG